AAAAAAAGATATAAAATAAGGAAATATAAAAGAAATAAAGGAAATTTTGAAAAATTTTTAAAATTGAAAGAAACAAACTAGGAGGTCGAAATAGGTCATGGGACCCACGGTATAAACAAAGTTATTTAAACATGAGATGAGTATAAAGAAACACAATTTCTCTGGTAACAAGGGGGTAGCGAGACCCATACGAAAAACGGAGCTTTATAAGAATAAGTACTGTATTCATGTAGTTTAGTTAAATAAAAACTTGAAAAACGAATAAAACAAAAAAAAAATTAGTTCAGTACTCACGATGGTTAAACTCCGTAAGTACTGTATTTATGTACGACGTTCTGATGACGTACCTCCTGGTTTGTATTCTTTCAATTCAGTTTAAATACAGTGAAAACTAAAAAACCAAATAAGAAAAATTCTGAATTATAGGATTATCATGTATTGAAGGTTTTTTCCACAATAAATACGCTGGAGAACGATCAAAATTTCATGAGATATAAGATTTTATAAGGTATATTATCACGTATTACTAATTACGTACTAGTGTGCTTGTCACACTTTACCCAAGCTTGCAACGAGTTTTTACTTATTAAAGTGATTTTATGAAACAGATTGTGGGAGCGGCTCTGCTAATGTTAACTGACATTTTAAACAGAACCACTCGTTCTCCAGCAGTTAAACGTTAAAATCTTCTTTCAGAGCTAATTTGCAGTTAGTTTTTATAAGTAGTGTTAAAACATTTCTTTCAAAGTTATGGTTAATTTTAAAAGCCCATGATACACGAGGAGATGTAATTAAACTTCTGTGATAATTTGAGATCTACTAGTTCAGTACGTTTTAAGACTTTTGCGATCAAACAAACGAACGCTATCTCCTACCATATTAGTAGAATAAAGTATCAAACGAATTATAGGTGCGTGCGAGATCATACACGGAACATTTTACGATCTTAAACTGTATTCGAACTACCAACTTTCAACAACGTTTAGCTTAACACTAGTGTGGTGTTATATTGTGACGGAAACCTATAGTGAAATTTGTGTCTATATAATAAAAGCGTGACAGCAAGACTTCAGTACCTCCTCACACTCTATTTATATGAAGAGTTGAGGATCCTGCAGTAATATTGAATAAAACATGCACGCCATTAGGATACTCCGTAAAATGCAGAATATTTACGCCAACTGCATAACACTACTTATTAAAACTTTAACCAAGAAGTTAAGTAAATAGCAACTCTTCAATGACTTTAATCAAAGCACCCAGCGACCAATCCATCGCGATATGCTTTAGACAAACATAGAAGATACATATTAACCCTATGATATACTCCAGTCTCAGTATAAGCACGCTGCCATACCATGAAATGCCTGAAGAAAAAAGAAGAGAAAAAAAAAGATTCTGACCAACAACTTCCAATTGCCTGACTCACAAATTACTATACAATAAAGTGTTCTCATAATTTCCATAAAACACAGTAAAAATTATTACCACTGAGCTCACCTTTTTAAATTACAAACCATTTCACAATTATTACTGTAGCACAACATCACTCATGCTAAATTTAACATAAAAAATTTTTAACAGCAAAACCTCAAGGAATAGTAATTCATATTATAAATTGCATTAATTTACATGTTAACATAATTTTTATGTTCTATTTTTTAAATTAAATACATCACATTACTAATAAAGAAAATTATATTATGTATCAGCTCATGTGGTTGGCAATCATCTAAGGGGAGATAAGTAAAATTTTATGTCATATACTTATTATTTATCACTTTAAGACATAGAGTTTCGTTCTAAAATTATCAAGGTCAAAGCTCAGTGATCTCAAAACATCAAGTGGTATATCTGTTTTCGCAACTGCGTGGCGTATAACTTACTTCTATTGAAACAAGCTGCTGTCACAAGACTTAAACTAAGTACCTATGCAACCAAAAAAAAATCTTATGAAGTGCTTATCGTACAATATTAATTAACACTGGTACATTCAAGGATATGACGACCAATTCCAGCATTCATAAGAGCGCTTATTGACGAGAAACATCATACACAATTTTAAGAGAAACTTTTTTTTAAATGTAAAATCCAAGATATCAGAAGCTTTAACCATCAACTACTGTATAATTATTGAACAACAGCTGTGCTCTAGTCAATCAAGAGAGATAACGTTAACTTCTGAATGGTACTTCAAATCCTCAGTCTGTCATGTCCTTTTCAAGTCCAAGAGTATAAAAACTCCGTGTAAATAATAATATTTGTCTTTTTTTCTATGAAGTGCTGTAAAGTAACTATAAAAGTTAAAAAAAAAGTTCTGTTGTGTCTTTAAAGCGTTTGCAAAACTTAATCTAGTGGTTCAGTTACTAAGCTGTGAAAGAAAAGCTTGAATAAACCAGACCACTGCAGTTAAATTTAAATTAAGTTAGGTTAAATTGTTACACATCTAGCACACAAGTCGATTTCACATAAATCAAATGTTATATTTGGGTCTAAGCTTCATTCTACATAAAAAAAATTATCAGATCCAAATATAATCTTTATTTTATACTTAAGTGCTTCACCAGTTTATGCACACTATGTAAAGTTATAATGTGTGCAACTAACCTCCTGTCTGTTTGTAACTCATTTGTTAAGACATTTTTTTTCTGTAATTTTGTTTATCCCTTTATTGATATTTTTCATTTCTTACAATACATCTTTAAACTACAACAATATTAAAATGTAATTTTAATAGTGCCTCAATTCTAGATGGAGGATAGACTATTAAATTCCCACTCAAAACCATTGGGAACGTAAGAATTTTCTCCAGGTGTTAAAGAACAGTTAAAAAGGACGGTGCCAATAATCGTGAAACTAATGTATCAAAAAAACTATTCAGTAAACCATGACGTTGCATAACCTTAAGGAATGAGGATGATGATAATAGTATGGAGCAAAACATAATTACAGGACCTCACTGTGTCTTAGAGCTAGGAAACTTGGTCAACTAAGTGAAGAAAAATACTGTAGTTCAATATTCGCGATAATGACTTACTGTCAGCTAAAGTTAACATTCATCTAACTCAGAAATTTGGTACACTCCTAGAACTGATGTAACTTTATTAATAACATAAAGCTACTTTGGCTTACTAACCAAAAACCTAGTGAAAAGAACAATAAATTTTTTTTGTAAATTTAATTATTCTTTATACGTAAACTTGTTATGACATATGCTTATGAAAACTTTTTTACTGAAGGAATAGTTGATATTGTGTTCAGGCTTTTTCATTGTGTAACCAACATTGTCTAACTACCTGATAAGTGACGACTGACGTGAAAATCTGATAGTAACACATGGACAACTTTTCAATCAATACATATTTAATAGATTTATTATATTCTTCATCCTACTCTGCCTAGTTAGTATAAAAAAACTATTGCATAATGTTCTCGAATTAAATATAAATAATCATGATATGCAACTTCTCTTTGTACGAGATATTTAAAATAAAGATCTTCGTTCCATAAATAACTCATATTCTTAGTTACATCATTCTTAACACAAAATCTCAAACGAAAAACATTATTTTATCAACATTCCATATTTAATATTTAACGTGCCCTTGGAACAATAACTTACTAGTAGTTTTACTTTTCTGTAGACAATTTTCGAGAATATTTTGATTTTTACGAAAGAACTCGATATTCTTCGATCTTATACATCTATCTAAATCGTACGAAATAAATTTATAATGGCAACAATCAAAATAGAAGAATAACATAAAACGTACATAAAAGGGACTGCTGAAAATACTTAATGGTACTTGCTATATCAGCACCAGTTGGAATTGGCTGATTTCCATGCAAAAGTCGTTGATAGTATTCATGAAGTGAAGCCAACTTTAATGTATCTGAAAATAGAAATATATCACATTGTAAAAAGAAGTATGTTTCATATCTTTTTGTATACTACGAGAAGCCTACATAAATACTCGTAATTTAATTGTTAACAATTAGAAATACTTAAAAGTTTTTAGTAAAACAGAAAATTATTTTTTGTATGAATAGAAACCACCAGTTCTTTAAAGTAATTACAAATTATCAACATCGATTTGACCAGAAAAACTCGGTTTGATATCTTTCGTTTCGTAAAAGGAGCACTTGTTCAATGGATGTAATTATTTACTCTCTCTTATGAGTACTACTAAAGTTAATGCAAATAATATTTCTGCAAATGAGATAATTTATTTCAAGGCTGGAAAGCTAGTCTTTTGTTGTGTTCACTTAAATTTACTTTACTGGTAACAGTAAGAGACAAAAGCATTTCTGTAGCTAAATACTTGAAAGTTAACCAAAACATTTTGGCATATGACCTAGTAAGGTATTCTCAATACCTTTAGTAGAAAAAAAACCAGATACAATTTTACGTTATGCCTCAGGATCTCAGGCTTTACAAGAGAAAGCTCCGATTAACTATCTACTTGAGTGACTACTTATTAAGTAATTAATAGTACGCAAATATATTGGTAATGAAAGTAAGAACTGCTTTGTAATTTTAATGCTTATAACTCATTAACACTGCATTGCTATACAATCCTGCAATGTTATAACTAATACTTATATATTACTATTTTAAATACTAGTATTCAAAAACAATGGATTAAATAATTTTGAGTTGGAACTTTTCAAAAGAGTTTTTACAACTTTTTGATATTTTTTGACAATGTTTTCAAGTTTAAGACAAATAAAATGCTTTGTATGAATGTAAGATTAAAAAAACCAGGCTTAAATATCGTTACCATAAAGTTAACCATTTAAAAAACTTTTTTTTTGCGGCATGTGATACGATAACGTTGATTTTTTAATTTTCTCCTTTGTACACGGAGACTAAGTTTTAGATTATTTTAACTCCGATTATCGGGGCAATTTTCAGCAAATCTGATGATAGAGTGAATTTAAACAGGATTAATCATAGTTATTATCTAAAGTCATGGGGAAAATTCAGAAAGTCGTGAAATTTACAGTCAGACTTTATAATTCTTATAACAGAGCCTTGTAATTTTTATTTTCAGTCCGGGTGAAAATTCCCCTCACTCTCTTTAAACTGGCACTACGGCATACCGTCAGAGAAGTAAAGCCAGCTGTTTTCTATGATTACATAATCTGCTGTCTGTAAACACGATCAATACGGTATCCGTACTAGTAAGTTGATGAATCAAAGGTTTCTCTTTTCGTAAAAAAAAACATCCTGGTGAATGAGTGTCTCGCAAACCTTAGTTTAGAGATAACTGGCCTTAGCAAGACGGTATATGGTAAAAAAAAAAAATAGTACTTAGATGTTAATTAAATGTAAAGTGTTATTACTTAATTGAAATAACTTTCTTAATTTTTATTTATTTACTTACTTAATCATTTTTTTACGATAAGTATCCATTATAAATCACTTTGTATTCCACTATAATGAAACACGCTTATGCGGTAGGTGCCATTGCGGACTTATGAAGGCCATAGCCCCGTTCTATTTAAACTTAACCACGTCAGACACATGCTTACCAGATAGTTCTTTTACGTTGAAACAAAGCTCTGATTTATAATTAAAATAGTAGTGATAATATGTGAATCGTATTCACAGACAGCAGGTTATGCGAACAAAGCAGACAGCTGATCTAACTTCTCCTCTGATGGGGTAGTGCAGCGCTGCTATGGAGTGAGAAAGGAGGATGTTTACCCTGACTAAAGATAAAAATTATAAGGCTTTGCTATAACAATAATAAGGACTGACTATCAGTTCTACTATTCCCTAAAACTTTAACCAGCAAAAATCAAAGCTTACACTGGATAAATATTTATCTATCGTCAGATTGTTCCAGAATTATCCGGACTATCAGGGTGAAACTCACCTCAACTTGTTCTCCATCAACTTATACATGCAAGAATACTTACAGGAATCATTTTATCATAGACTCCTTAAGAAATGTTATTATTTGAAGTAAGATTTTTCATTATGTCAAAAACAGTTATTTGTACAATTAAAATTTTTTCAACCATGTTTTAACCAATGCCCAAAAGGGTTACTCTAGATCAACTTAAAACGTACTCATCATAAACATAAAAGTAAGTTACAATGATATTTTAATTTTCATAAATATTTTGAAAATCTTCTAAATTATAGTCAAAAACTTTCATTAGTAAGTATAAACTTCTTTTAAATTTAACTTTTAATTTGAATTATATTTTGTAACTGTGCACCCTTATTTTGTAAGGTTATTATATTAGAGGTATTGTGATTATTTTACTTTGTTAGTATTAACTACTTACGATAGCCGTCATGTAAAGCTTTTCTTAAACACAAACAGTTTTTTTTGGCTATGTCTCTTTTAGTGAGCAAAATCGTGATAAAAAAAAGGAGAGGATCTCAAATCTAATTTTGTTTACTTCTACCATCCCTATCCTTATGTTACCTATATTGTTATAAAATAATAATTTTATTGCTTTTGAGACACAAAGTTTTATTTATTTATTAAAAAAATTTATTCAACCAATGATTTTCAAATAAATTTTTTACTGTTTCTGTTTTACTTAATATCCTTTTCTTATTCTTGCATCTCATTAATGTTACGTAAAGTTCAACACCAAAAAGCAAAGAATTTTTTTAACGTATGTACTGTTACGTGAGATTCTAAAGGTTTAGAGTGCTTAATAATAACGTGGCAGTTAAACTCAATGAATCACTTTATTGCTATATTCCTTAAGGGAAAGCACTTTGCGGTCCCGAGTTAATTATTGCGACTCTCCTCTTTCTAATGGTACCCCTGTTTGTTGCCTGTAACAAAAAGAAAATGGGATTGTTTGATGCTAAGGGTTATCCCGTATGTTACTTTGTGTCTTTTGAAAAAATTCTGACTGATTATTTATCGGCAGCTCGGTTGGTCGGTCAAATGCAGGGAAAAGGTATTCTGTATTTGTATACACGGCATTATGATTTTTTTCGTTTCCAAACCTCAGCCTATCTGTCCTATTGTTTGATGTATAGTAGCTATAATTTTTGTCATTTGAATGCAGAGGTAACCAATTGCAGAATGGTATAAAAGGTTGTTCACTGTTTGTATTTTTTTGTTCTCACGGTTTGGTATACTTTTCCTGCCAACTCGTTTTGCCTAGCCCTTCCACGCCTAATTGAACACGTTTCCTGTCTACCCCTATGTTCTCCTTAATCGCGTTCTCTTTTGATTCTGATTTTTTTGGTGCAATTTTCAACATATTTATTTCTGCTGTTTCATTAGTTGGCTCTGCTTATTTAGTATTAGGATTTTTCTGAGATAAAATTTTTGGTTTTATTTTTTTAAATACCTGTAACATGAGAACTTGATTTTTTTTATCTATCTTCTCATAGAGTGCATACGATTCAGGATTGTGTTCAAGCATAACCGTTATTGTATCTGAATCTTCCCGTGTCATGGAAGAAGCTTCGTTTAAACCATCCCTACCGTTATTATTCTTTTCCCCGTGGTTGGACGTCATTATTTATTTCCCTTTTTTTTGCTCATATAAGAGTGATGTGAGCTTAACTATACAAGTTAATTTCAGTCCACGCACAAAGAAATAATAGAGAAAAAAGGATTCCTATTTTATTTCCGATTCTTTATTTCTATTTTACTGGCTTCTAAAACGAGCGGAACTAGCCGTATTTGGGTTAATTATTATTTTTTTTGTACGTCGTTTCCTTAGCTAAACAACATCAAGAGGCAATAAGTATATATATTTGGGAGGATAAAAAGAATTGTTACTTACTCTGACAGAAGGCACGAAACGATGAGCGCCAATATACTCTAAGTCATCCTTTTTATGATGGGTCCTTCTATAACTGGATGTTGACTCTTGTCCTTTCTTACTTGATAGCAGCTGCAGGTAATTGCCTTGAATTTTCTGCGCCTGTTGTTGCACTGCACAATGTGTGCTTCCCGATTGTCGCCCGAAAATTCCGAAATATCACGTTTAAAAAAAAAATTTATTTCGCGACAAAACCTACCCCACACGTAGCACCAAAACTGTTACGTGGGATTCGAAATGTTCAGGATGCCTGATAACAACGTAGCAGTTAAACTAAATCAATCACTTTATTGCTATATTCCTTGAGGGAAGGCGCTTTGCGGCCCCAAGTTACTTATTGCGACTCTTTTCTTTCTAGTTCTGACGTTCTAGAGCCCTGTGGCTACTCCTGCGGGCCTTTTTATGCTCTTTCCTCTCCTACTTGTGCTCCTTTCTAATACTTATAGCTGAGGCCCATCCCACGTAGTATGTCCTATACTGTACGTGACACGTCTGAGGCTGCTTCGTCGTCGCCCTCAAAAACGTTCTTTTCTGTACCACCTCGGGAATGATTGTTCAATTAGTGTCTGTATCATGTTGTTTGTGTTGTTATGTATACTAATCATATAAGAAAAATTCATGAGGTGTTCCTATGAACATCCTCGTTTCATTTTCTTTTACAGGCTTTGATTAGTTTTCCGCAAGTTTATAATTGTCTTATTACACATATTGTTTGTGTTTGCACTCTTCCCTCTTACATAATAAATTGATAAATATGCCCTTGTGGGTCTTACTTTTATTTATGATTATTTAATTACTATTTATTGCTTATCATTTAATTTAATATTTAGTTATTTACTTACATTTTTTATTAAGTTGTCTTATACATATTCATTTTCATCATTATGATTATTATTTTCCTTCTTTTGGTCTTATTTAACTCAAAACTTTTGTTTTGTATATTCAATTTTTTTTTTTGTTGTATACTACATTCATTATATTTCACGGAGCGTCTTCCACACAACATGACAAAAATCGTTTTTTTCAATTATATTATCATCATCTTACGATAAGTATCCATTATAAATCACTTTGTATTCCA